GGGAAATGGGGAAGGGGAACAGTGTTGGGGAATTGGGGAAGGGGAACAGCCAAGTTGTCCTTCAATCTTAGTTGTGGAGGGCGCAGCTAGCTCAGCTCCAAGTCAGCTCCAAGTCCAGTCCCCATCTGGCCACACGTCGGCAGTTCACGGCTGCTCAGCTCAAGGTGCCATGTTCAACCTTAGTTGTGGGTGGGCGTAGACACCATCCCATGCGGGAGTCAAACCGGCAACCTTGTTGTCAAGAGCACTGTGCTCTCACCAGCTGAGCCATCTGGCTGCCTGTTGGCAGCTCAGCAGTAGCTCAGCTCCAGCGCAGTTCACTGGCCCATGTGAGAATTGAACCAGCGACCCTGTTGCTCAGAGCTCACGCTCTAACCAACTGCACCACCCAGCCGGCCCCAGAATATTTTTAATGAAGACATATATGACCTGACTGACTCCCATTTACCTGCCTTTCCTTTTGAAAAAAATTTGACCTTGACTGTTATCTAAAGTCTTATTCCATCCCCAATGGCCCACTCTTCAGCAAGATGAATGCTGACACTAAGACTTCCTAGGAATGAACCTTCCTAGCACACTAGCCAACCAAAAGGTTGGTCATCTATGCATCCTTTAGATTGATTTATGACCAAAAGGGGAAACTGTTGATGAAAAGAGGGCCACATACTAAGACTGACAAGCTCAGGGGAGGCCTGCATGGCGGGCCTAACAAACTCAGATGCTGAAAGTAACCACATAGGGTGGTCTAAACATAAAGATTCCTAACTAAAAGTGAGTCATGGAAAGTAGTCACACTCTGGGCCTGCAGCATTTGTGACAGAGGTCAGTCTTTACCCTAAGTAAGCCTGTCCATTGTCTTTTTGCATCTAATATAACATACCCTTGGAATGTCAGAGTAATCTCTTTTCTGGACCCCTCAGTGTACAATCTTCCACCAGAGCACGAGACCACAAAACCAATCATTGCTACCTTATTGCCCAAATACCATCTCTATGTGCTGTGAATGTTGTTTATTAACTATTCTAAACCCACCAATGTAAAAGAAGTATGTGTCTCTCCATTTTACTTTTTATCCAGTCTCAGAGATTTCCCTGCTTTGCTTTCTCCTACTTCTCTAATCTACCACTAATGAATATCATGTAACCACTCCCCCACCTCCTTATGTCTCCTCTTTTGATTCTAATCTATAAAATAAACTGTAAAACTACCATTCTTTGGAGCATCTTCTCAATCGTTGAGATTTTGCTTCTTGGTAATTGTTGTTGGTTTGGCTTCAAGTAAACTCTTATAAGGCATTTTCTTAGGATGGATGTTCTTTTGTCAACAAATGTAAACGCTCACCCATTATTTAGATATAATACATTTGGCGAACAGGAAGATAGAACAATACATTTGTCAAAGCCCCTGCTCATGGGAGATCAACTTGATTAAAATTATCAAAATTATTTTCAAAGACACCACATTGCTCTAGCCCTGTGCAAATCTGTCTAGTTTCTCTTTAGAATAATTTAAGGGTTAAACTTCAGAGTCTCTTCATTGGATTGGTTAGTGAGAGCATGATGCCTCTCCTCTATAATTAAGAAAGGAAACTAAGGCTTTACTGGAGAGGTGTATAAACTGCAATGAGGCGGGGAGATAGGACAGCATTCCCTCCCATGGTTTTTCTAAGCTATTAGAGCTCAGTCTCAGATCCAGACCTACTTTGGAGTATCTCTAGGAAACTTGAGTTAAGGAGGAGAACCAAAGGGAACGCACCTTTTCTTTTGGGGCCAAGAGTCACCTCTTATCTAGGACCCTGACATTCTCACCTTCCTCTCTCATCTTTGAAAAGGTAGCTAAACCAGAGGAAGTTAAAAAAAAAATGTAGCTAAAGATTGTAATTGTTGGTCAGGGAAGGCTGGGAGTCCCTCAGTGTTTTGAAAACTTGCATTAAGTTTGTATTTTCATTCTTGCTCCTAGGCCAAGGGCTTTATAAGAGAGTTGGTAGAGAATGGGGTGATTGATGTCTCAAGGCTTTCCTTAATTATTTTTTTCATGGTTAATGAGTACCATCAACACCTGGGGCCCTGACTCTCCAGCCTCCTGGCCTGCCACTCTTCCTTGTTTGGAAAATTGCTTGCAGATGCCAGTGGATACCATATTCCCACTCCTTTGTCACTCTATTCATTTAGCATCCTGGTTTGCCCCTCCCCCACGGTTGAGGGATTGCTTGGAGGTCCCATGGATTCCACATTCCCACCCATTTGTCCCAACAGAAATGCCTTTGTTTCTCCTCTTTCTAGAATTCCTGTTCATCCTTTACAGACCCAGTTCAAAAGTCATAAATATGCTAATTATTTATTTACATACATACTCTGTTTCCCTTCCCCCCTACCCCCCCCATCCCCAGGCAGAAATATCTTATCTTATTCTACTTTACATGTCCAGCCCAGCATATAACAAAAATTTAATAAAATTTTAACTAATAAGAAAGACATGGATAGAAACTTCTGAGTAAACAAATGCTTTATTTGAACCACACTAAATTGTTTTCCTTGCTTCACAGAATGCTAATTTCTTTTTGTGGTGAGAAAAACATTTTTGCCTAGGATGTTAAGACAACAATTTTAACAAATATTGACACAGGCCAGTTGTCCTTTATGTCTTTTGAGCCCCCAGTGAGTTTTCTACTGCCTAAGGTCTAGGTATCCATTAGAAATATTTTGGGGGCAAGTGTAGGGAGTTGGGACAGATGAGGTGCTTTCAAAACATTGCTATGCCACAAATTTAATGACAATCAGGAATTTTCTCAGGAAAAGTTTAGAAAAAAGTGATGTTTCCTCTCACTTGTCTAGACACTAACTATAACTTAGGCCTTACCTGGATGCCTCCAGCTTTGATCAAAGTCAAGCAGACTGGCATCCCGGGGACTCCTAGGGACAAATGTCTTTTTTTTTTTTTTTTTTTTTTTTTTTTTTTTACTGGGGATTATTGGGGAACAGTATGTTTTTCCAGGACCCATCAACTAGGACCCAAGTCAAGTAGTTGTTTCAATCTAGTTGTGGAGGGCACAGCTCAGTGGCCCATGTAGGGATCGAACCTGCAACCTTGGTGTTATGAGCCCTGTGCTCTAACCAACTGAGCTAACCAGCAGTCCCGCAAATGGCCTTTTTATTTAGTGTTTTGTCTACTTAGTCTAGCCCTTGGCCTCTTCCTTCCCCACCCAGGGAGGGGAACTGGGTGACTGGGGCCACTCCTGCTAACTGGAAGGAATTGGGCGTTGCTGGGCACAAAGCCAAGAACTTGAACTCTGCTGAGGAATGGGGTCAGGGCAGCTGCTGACCCCCAGAGCAGGGCTGGCAGCCAGCTCACAGGGCATCTAGCTACCTGGGGGAGAGACTCTTCTGCTCTTGACAACAGGCAGTTTGTTCAGTTCTTGCCCCGATTCCTCCCCTGCTGCTTTTGACTGTATCCCTGAGCTCTTTGGTAACTCTACCTCTCACCAAATTTTGCAATTTGCTGTAGACTTCAAAACTCAGGCTCTACCTCTCCTTCCTTTAGAGCTGCATTTCTCTGAAAGTTGAAAGCCAACAAAGAGGATCAAGTTTCCTTAACTCCTTTTCTTTCAGGCTCCTGGAACTGAACTCTTCGGACCTACATACCAGAAAGACTCTATTTTGTCGAACCACCATTTTAAAGGTTCCCCCAGCATTCTGATTTTAGATTGATCTCTGACCTAGAAGCTGACAAAGAAGCCAAACACTCTATTTTCAGAAACACATGATAATACATTCATGCTAGAACACTGCTGATCCTTCATTTGGGGTGGCCACTGGGCTTCTCAGTTCTAACAACTGATTTTTATTGTTGTTTACCTATTTTTAAATTTGCTCCATGACCATGACACCTTTCTCCTGCTGCTTTTCTTTTTCTTCACTTCTGTAATCTGCCTCTCTCTTGGTAGAATTTTCTCTTCCTAATGTTTTATCTGTTTTAGTCAGCCTGACTCTTTCCCTCCTGGAAACCTCTCTGTTCCAGGGTTTAACTTGGAGATTTTATGAATCACTAAAGAGTTTATAGATTGTGAACCAGGGGTAAGAGAATTCGTTTCTGTTCAGGGTTAGAGTCCTGATCAAGCCTGCTTCTTAACTGTGTGTGTATTCGTCATCTACCTTCTACTGCCGTTTCAATGCTGCTTCATTAATCTGTTACCCACCCTTTTTTCAGATAAGGAGGCACGTTTTCTCATTTAAAATCCTCAGCTTTTTAGATTTCTCAGACAGGTGGCTTCCCTAAAAATGACAGATGGACTTTGAGGCACAAAACAGTTATTATGAATACCTTTTCCTTGAGAATCCGCTGTCTGGTTGTTCACATTAGCTGTTATTTGTGGAAAGAGCACTAGATGTAAGAGTCAGAAAAGTTCCAGTTTTGCTACCTATTGGCTGTGCAACCTTGGGAAAATCATCACCTTCTCTGAGCTCTTAATGTCCTCACTGGTAAAATGGGAATACTCCATGGGGGTATTGTAGAGATGAAATAACAAACAGGAAAGCACTTTGCAAACTGTATTGAGATGGTAGGGCAAATGAGCAGGAATGATACCGTGATTCTTCTTTAAATCCTTCAAAGGTAAAGGATCATTAAACATTAAGATTTATTTTGGTCAGTTTATTTTAGGTGGGTCTCAGGGAAAGGTTCAAGCTAGAAAAGGTGCAGAAATCCTTGTGCTAAAATTGAGGTATAAATTGCAGGACTTTTTTTGTCCACAAAGGGTGCTAAGGAATACTGATTGTTTGGAGTTGTGAATCTGGTCCTAGGCTAATGTAGCCCCAGGGAGTAGCTTTGAAAATGCACTCACTGCAAGTGAGTTTCAACATTCACTTCCCAGGCAAGCCTAAAGCCTGTTTTAAAAAAGAGTGTGTGTGGGCCAAACTCAAAGTAGCCTGGGACATTGCAGACTGGCACCACCTCCCCCGGCTGTTTCTGAGGCCATCCAGAGGCGAGAGCCCAGATTAACTGAAAAGTAAAGAGAGGACTGCAGAGTTTGGGACTTTGTGCAGACGTGTTCATAGTGCAGAGGGCGGGAGGGAGGAAAGAAAAGAAGGAGGGTGTCAGGAGCTGAGGCCCCACCTTTCATTCCAGCAAAGTGCACCAACGGAGCAGAGATGAGTCACAGGCTCCGGAGCTCAGATTCCCATAGGTGAGGTACTGACTCCTCTCTCTGGGAAAACGCGGGTGCTCGCTCCTCAGGAGTGGCCTTGGCAGGGTGTTGGAGCCCTCAGTCTGCCCGGTCTGGTCTCTGGGGCCAGGGCTGGGTTTCCCTCATGTATGGCAAGAGCCTTACGCGTGCTGTGCTTCTTCTCCTTGGCATACAGCTCACAGGTAAGAACTGAGGGGGCTTCACTCAGCATTTCCTCTCTCATTAACTACCCTGTAAAAGTTAGCTAATAGTCTAGGAAGTCGTAAGAATTTTTTTTTTTGAGCCTGAGACGCCATTGCAGCTCGCTATAATTTTGACTTTACTGAAACCAAAGTTGATAGGTTGTTTTGGGGAACCGCTTTTGGACAAACAGGTTTAGGTGTGTTTTGGCTGCCAGTGATTTGGGCACAGAAAGGGCTTTCAAATCTCAAGTTACAAACCATTTTTTGTGTGGCTACTCTCAGTCTCAGTGCAGACAGGACTTGGCACTTGGATTTCAGTGTGTGGGTCTTGTCTGGGACTCTCGGCAGCACTGGAAAAGCCAAGATTGTTAAGGGGAGAGACATACCATGGTTTTGAAACTGTCCCAACATGAACATTCTAAATGTAAATAACATGAAAAAGAAATGCCACGTGGTGTAAGGTTTTACGGGTACAGGCAAGCATAAGCTGTTTGGGGTTGATTAATTCAATTTCTGCAGAAGATAAGGAATAGTATAAAATCCACATAACAAGGACCCTTTCTGGAAAACTTACCTGCTAGGGTACCATTATACCTGCAATACATAATGCTTAATTTAAATACATGCCTAATTCACGTTATTAGATTTGATTTTTTGTTTCTGCTTTCAATTTGATTTGCTGATGTCTGTAGTTTCTTATACCAGTTTTGAAGTGGGTACCATGAGGCTAGGGTATCATGCTGTGGAGAAAGTGAGAGCACCAGGGAGGCTTTCTGTGTGATAATTTTATGTTACACTGGATGGGGCGGTCAAGTTTGCAAATAGGTAGGTGTATGCAGACTCTGGGTGAAGTGAATTTGAGAGCCGGGCATTTCAGTTCAGTTTTATGTCCTACTCAGACATTTATTTTGGTAGTGTCAGCAGGAGTTCTCTTTATACACACTTCCTGTTAACCCTTCTTTCTCCTTTTCTTTATTGCAGCTCTTTGGCCTATAGCAGCTGTGGAAATTTACACCGCCCGAGTGCTGGAGGCTGTCAACGGGACGGATGTTCGGTTAAAATGCACTTTCTCCAGCTTTGCCCCTGTGGGTGGTGCTCTAACAGTGACCTGGAACTTCCGTCCCCGAGATGGGGGGCCAGAGCAGTTTGTATGTAGATTATTGTCATTTTCTGGGGGACCTTTGGTTAGGAAAATAAGCAGATCTGTTTTTCCTTGCCCTCCCTGTATTTTTCTTAACAAGCACAGGGTAAAGCTGGGAAACAATTCTTGGGCCACAGACTGACAGAACTGAGAGGTCGGTGAAAGGGAAGCAAGAGGTTCTTGCAAGAGAGCTGCAGATGGAGCAGTGAGGCTTGCTGGTGTGTCTCTTCTGCTCCCACCGTCTCAGCCACCTTGCCCAGGCACTGTGGAAGACCTTTTGCTATGTGTCTTCTCTAGGTATTCTACTACCACGTGGATCCCTTCAAACCCATGAGTGGGCGCTTCAAGGACCGGGTGGTCTGGGACGGGAACCCTGAGCGGTATGACGTCTCCATCATCCTCTGGAAGCTGCAGTTTGATGACAATGGGACATATACCTGCCAGGTGAAGAACCCACCTGATGTTGATGGGCTGATAGGGGAGATCCGGCTCAGCGTTGTGCAGACTGGTAGGTTAAACCGGGAAAATGGTTTTGGGAAGTATGAGAGCTTGTAGAAAAGAGCGCGGCAATCTTTTGTGATGGCTGATAGAGAGGCGGACTAACCCTTTGAATATGGAAACTACAGAATGGGAGTGAAGAGTCCTGGGGTAGAAAGAGAAAGGCTTTGTTTGGCTGTGGAAAGAAAGCTAAGGGACCCAGGGAATCTGTTACAAAAATGGCATTCAGATTGTGAAAGGGAGAGGAAGCAACTCTATGACAAAAGGCTAACAATAGGTCTGTTCATTCACTCATTTATTTACGATACTTATTGAGTACCTACTCTGTGTATCATGTACTGTTCAAAGTGCTTGACATTACTACTATCTTATTTAACCCTCATAACCACCCTAGGAGGCAGATATGAAAGTGGTAGCTATCGTTTGTTGTTAGGGACTTTGCATATCTTATTAATCTTTGCATATTTCATCAGTTTATTGTGCTCTTAGTGCCCCTCCCATTTTACTAATGAGGAAACTGAGGCTCGTAGAGGTTAAGTCACTTGTCCAAAGTAATGTAGCTGATATATGGAGTCACTTAGAACTCAAACCCAAGCATCTTTGGCTCCAGGATTGTGCTCCAAACTAGTGTATTATATTGCCTGCAGTCCTATAAAGGACAGCCTGGAAAACTGTGCCAGATAATAGAAAGCAAAGACCATAAAACTTCGGAGTTGTAAATTTGGGTAAACAAATCCTTTTTTTTCCCTCCAGTAAAGAATAATATAACAAGAATTACGGTGACGATAAAATGAGATAATAGACGTAAAAATTCCCCAAACAATGAATTGTACTGAAAATTATAATAGCTACCATATATTGAGTGTTTATTTTGTGCAGGCACAGCATGGAACAATTTACATCAATAATTTTATTTTTTATAGGAACTCAAGAAATAGATATTGTTCTATTTTATACATTGAGGAAACTGATGCTAAAAGAAGTTAATTACCCCAAATTACACAGCTAGTAAATGGTGGAGCTAGTATTTTAACCTAGCTTTCTCTGGTGTGTGCTCCTAACCAATACACAATATTACTCCCAAAACGGATTAGCCTGTAAAGTGGTATGGTTTCCTCCTTTTGTTTTTAGTACCATCCTTCAAGGCCCTATCAATAGAGAGCCGTGTGACCTTGCAGAAGTAATCTGAGTATTAAAAGAAATAATGTAATGTCTTTGGGCCTCAGTTTCTTTAACTGCAAAATGAACATATTAGACAAGAACACATGGTTCTTAAACATACTGGGATTACTGCTCTTTGAGAGTCTAATGAAAGTCATGGCCCTGCTTCCTACAAAAAATGTACACATACGGAATATGACATGGATTTTGTGAGCTTGTGGCCTTCTCGCCTCCCATCTTCCTTCATGGGAGCCCCTAAGTTAGACATTCTCTAATGTGTTTTCTGGTTCTTAGGGTTTGTTGATGTTTAAATCAGAAATCAAGCTAAAAGACAGGAGACCTAGGCTTCACAGACTTTAGCCTGGTTTAGGGACACTTTCCTCTGGGTTCCCTCTTGCATCATTGCCCCACTAGACTATATGGTCCTGTGCCACATAATGATGTTTCGATTAACGATGGACCACATATGGGATGTTGCTCTCATAAGATTATAATGGAGCTGAAAAATTCCTGTCGCCTACTGACATCATAGCCATCACGTCATAACGCAAAGGTTACAAAAGAACAAGGCTGTGGTTGAAATGGCAAACAACTTTAACCTGGGTGTGGGTGAGGGTGACATTGAAGAGCTCCTAGATGTGGTTCCTGAGTATTTGATGAATGCGTTGTTGGAACTGGAACAGGAACGCATAGCTGAATAAGAGGCAAGAGTAAAGGAAACTGCAGAAGTATAAGAACCCCCAAGAAAATTCACAGTGAAGGGTTTAGCAGAAGCTTTTGCAGACCTCAATAATCTCCTTGAAAAGTTTGAAAACATGGACCCCAACACTAAAAGGTTTTCACTAATAGAGAGGAATGTTCATGGTGCATTATCTGCTTATAAGCAAATCTATGACGAGGAAAACAAAAAACAACCAAACCACCCAACGAAACCACCACAGACAAATTTCTGAGAAGAGTGATGTCTCCTCAAGAAGAGCCTCAGGCAGGTCCTTCAGCAGGTCTTCCAGAAGAAGGCATTGTTATAGATGACAGCTCCATGGTGTCATTCCCCCTGAAGACCTTCCAGTGGGATGAGATGTCGAGGTGGCAGACGGTGATACTGATGGCTCTGACCCTGTGTAGGCCTAGGTTAACATGTGTGTATGTGTCTTAGTTTTTAACAAAACAGTTTAAAAAAA